GTCCCTGTTGGTTCTCCTGGACCTCTCAGAGGTTTTTGTTACCATCAACCATGGTATCCTCCTGGATAGGCTGGCGGGACTGGGAGTAGGAGGCACTGCTTGGCAGTGGTTCACTCCTACCTTGATGGCTGATTCCAGAAGGTGGTGCTGGGGGACTTTGGCTCTGTGCCATGGCAACTTTGCCATGGAGTACCACAGGGTTCCATTTTGTCCCCCTTGCTATTTAATATCTACATGAAACCGCTGGGAGAGGTAATCAGGAGGTGTGGGCTGCGGAGTCATCAGTATGCTGATGACACCCAACTCTACCTCTCTTTTTCAACAAGTCCAGGTGAGGCAGTGGCTGTCCTGAACCGGTGCCTGGCCAAGGTAATGGGCTGGATGAGGGCCGATAAACTGAAACTCAATCCAGATAAGACGGAGGTTCTGTTGGTGGGTGGATCGAGCTCCTGCATAGGTGACTTGGGCCTTGCCCTGGACGGGGTTGCACTCCCTCTAAAGGACAGGGTCCACAGTCCCCCAGTTCAGGCAGAGGTGCTCCTGGTCAGACCAAATCTGCCTCAGGGAAGAGGAATTCAGCCTGTGCTGGATGGGGTTACACTCCCCCCCCCCCCCGAGGCCACAGGTTGGCAGTGGGGGATACATCTGGAGCTGCTGCTGAGTCTGGATGCCCAGGTCTTGGCAGTGGCCGGAAGTGCACCTCCACAACTGAAGCCGGTTGCCAACTGCACTGGTCCCTGCAGATTTCTGGCCTGGCCACGATCACACGTGCCTTCTTGCCGGTCCTCTAGCCACCATAGCATGTTTCTCAGGAGGTTGCCCATTGAGCCTTGGTTTGGGGGCTTAGGCTTTGTGCAATGCTGATTGTGCAATGCTGTTATTTTCAGGGAGTTGTCCAGCTCCTGGAAGGACTCTCAGTGCCGGCCTGCAGCAGGTCTTCTCCTTGGCCAAGGGAGGGCACCAGGCAGGAGGCGCTGCACCACTCACTGGGTAATTCCACCCAGTGTCCAGAAGACCAGAAGGCGCAATCCCATGCTGGCTGGGGGCTGCCCGCCTGCACACGCTGCTCTGGGGTCTCAGGGGTGATAGATGTGAAAGGATGGTTTGAAACAAGGCAGTGGAAAGATTTAAAAGGGTAACAAAGAAAATTCTTAGCCCAAAGGAGAGGAGGGGCTAAGATCAGACAGCACAGGGTGTGAGAAAACAGGCAGGCAGGATGGCCAAATACTGACTCAATGACTTGTTTATTGACAAGCTTGGCAGAAGAAAATGAGCCTGTCGTAGCGCACCGGGGGCAGGGCTGGATTGGGATAAGGGCCGGTGTTGGAGCAGCGCGGAGCAGGCGGGCGGAAAGAGTGTGAACTCCCGGCACCCCAGGCAATGAGGGGAAAGGAGGAGGGAGAAGCGGCCAGGGGCAGGGCATAAAATGGGATGTGGACATGTGCTCAGGTGAGCTGGAGAATGGGAAGGAAGCCATTTTTCAATCCTTTTATTGCAATAAAGTTTTAAAAAGAACCCTCTGCATGCTTGGAATATTTTTCTCTTCTGATAAAAAGGAAAGAGTGTTCATAACAGGGGGGTGGGAAAGCAAATGGGTGTGCACGGCTGCTGGTGGGAAAGCAGCCCCCCCCCCCCCCCCCGCCAGTGGGACAGTTGTTCTGCAGCAGGGGTGTCATGGTGCCGGGCAAAGGCCTTCCTTTAAAAAAATTAATAATGAATGTCATTCACCTTTGTTTTGTTGTTCTGATAATACTTATTGTTACTCAATTTTAATATGTTGTTACTGGGTTTTATTGTGTTTTTATCTTGTAATGGAGAGCTGCACAGAGGTGCTGTGGCACAACTAGGCAACATATACATTTTTTAAATAAATAAATGCCTAACGGGCTGGGTGAGGAGCTGCATGCTGCCCACAGCTGCGCATTCCAGACCTGGGAGAATTCAGGGTGCTGGATGCAGCTGCTGGAACTGCTCTCATACCACCGTCCTGGCACTTAGAAGAGAGCCACTGCTACCCAGAAGTGTAAAATTACCGAGCCGTTAAAATCCTGGGCACTTTCTAAGATCCTCACTCGAAGGCTGGGCGAGACAAAGACCAGCACATGCAGCGCATTCCTAAAAATATCCCCCTTTCCCTTCTTCCTTCCGCTTCTATCAGTCTCCTTCCCTGCCTGCGTTTCGCGTGTGCACAGACTGATAAGCCCCTTGCGCTGCTATTTTAAGAACCAGCAATTGCAATGAAGCAATTAGCCTGCTTGGAACTGGACAGAGTCACAAGCACACTCATTGCGGGGAAAACCGCTTCATCTTGCTCAATAATTCAAATGCTGGCTGAGACTACAAGTGGGAGAGTCACTGTGGCCACCCGGTGTGGGTTTCTGAGTCACGTCCTCCAGTGTTTCCGATTCGGGTTGCAGGCAGACCAGGAACACAGCGGCCTGGCTCGCTCCCGCGCCTGTGGCAGCAGACGTAGCTCCCGCGACAGGCACAGAAGTGAGCAGAAGCTGGCCAGCCAGCTGGGGATAGAAGGACCCTGTGGTCTTTATTAGGGGATTATGCAGGCTTCTTGTCTCTGCCAAGAGGACTGGCAGGTCCCTGAGATAAAGCTAACTTTTCTGGGGCGTGGGCCAGTCTGTTACAGCCAGCATTTGCTCTCCCATGAACCCAGGATCAAGACGCAAAAGTCCGCTGGTGGTGCTCGAGAGTGGCCTCTTGCAGACTGTGGCAGCAGAAACCTGAACTGCTGCCTTCCCCAACCTGGTGCCCTTCTGGGGCATTGGGCATGGTAGTCCAACCCAACTGGGGGGCACCAGAAAGGAGAGGTATGAAAGCAAGGGCTAACTAAACATAGCATTTTATTTTCCCACTATTTTAATTGCTAATTTATCTTAATCGGTGGTTTTATATTTATTATTGGATGTGCTATTTTTATTTTTTTTTATCTTTTTAAATTGCTGTTATTGTGAACCATCCTGAGACTTCAGTGATGGGGTGGTATACAAAAGTTCTAAATAAATAAATAAATAAATAAATAAATAAATAAATAAATAAATAAAGAAAGAAAGAAAGAAAGAAAGAAAGAAAGTAATAGCAAACCAAACTTTTCCCCCTTAGGAAAGAAAGCAGGAGAGCAGCTTTCTCCTACTCCCATCACAAGGCCGGGTGCAACTATTCCATCTTTTCCTCCCAAACGGATTTGCTGAGGGAAGAGCAAAAAGATGGAAGAACTGGTGGAAAAACAAGTGAGGGTTGCTACTGGAAAACCGGCTTGTAGCCAGGGGGTTCCCCCCTAATTTGTTCTGCCCCCCCCTTACAACTTTTAAAAACAGACTCTTCCCATACTGCATTTAAAATCCCTGCAGACTAGATCAACTGCCCTCTACTTTCTCCCCTGCAAAACCATCTTTAGGCTGGCTGCAGGCCAGGCAAAAGCCCTCCTTGTCCAGACACTCCACAAGTAAAACTCCCGTGAGCAAGGCAGGGCGACTGCATGGCAAAAGCCTCATCTAAAAACCAGCAGAATGTGGGGTGGCTGTGAAAGTTCAAGGAATTCAAAGATCCAGAGTTCCCAATCGCACACGGGTTCTAGTTTGCAAAATCCCCGACTCTCCATGACATGCGCACAAAAACCACCAGTCATGGGAGGGGAATTTTCTTTCCAGTCCAAAAATTCAACCACAGTTAGGAGACGGTGCCTACCTAGGGATGCTTCAGCAGTTAATTTCCCCTCTCTCATCCTCATGCTTTATATGGTGATTTTCCAGAGCATTCAAAATATTTCTTTATGTCGTCTTCTCGTCATCTGCAAAACAGCTCTTGGCGGTTTTGCCGCTATTAATATCCCTGTATTGCAGGTGGGGGCAGAGGGGCGAATGGCTTGCCTACAGCTGCCTGGGTTGCTCACAGCAGCAACAAGATCAAGACAGACTTTCTGAGGTGTGACATTTTTAGCAATGCCCGGGAGGTGGTGACATGGAGCAGCCAATTAGGGCCAGACCCCCCAACCTTTCATTTGGAGCCCTGGATCTCTGGGACACCCCTGGAAGAAAGGTACAGGGCTCCTGAACCTCTTTGATGGGTTGGAGTTTTGCCCACAAGTACTTCACGTCCCCCTCTCACAAAATTTTTCTGCTGGAGATTTTTTCTGCCATCAAATGCCTTCCTCTCCCGTTCATACACTCCTTTTTACAAATGCCAGTGTCCTTAGGCGGCAGAGTTCTTTAAAGACACAAAGACAGGTATCTGTAAGGCGTCCGTCCATCTGTTTGTCCTGTGGGCCTGAGTCCCAGATCTTTTCTGCACCTAGCACCACTCTGGCTCATTCTGTACCCTTTGGGTCATCAGGATTGCGCAGGAGAACTTCCCGGTGGACTCTTGGAAGAGCCACACAAAAGGTTGTATTGAGGCACCAAGGTTTGGTTCTTGGGCTGAAAATCATGCTGGTGCATCCCGGCTGAAATTAAGCCTGGCTAGGGGGCTGCTTGGAGGGCCCCTGTGCATCCCCGCAAGCCCCATGATTAAAGAAAAGGGGCGGTGCACGCAGACACCCCACCTGAGGTGGTACTGCACTTCAAGTCGCTGGTGCTTACTATTTCAATTTCTCAGGTGAATTTCTGAAAAAGGACTCAGGGTGACTGGTAATGCCATTAAAATACAGAAAATGGAAAACAGCTACCACAATGATCCATCAAAGAAAAACAGCAATGGCATGTGGGACTCCTGTAAGTGCTCGACCGAAACATTAAACAGTCCAGGAGACGCTGTGAGATGCCTAGGAACAAAGTGAAGTCTTGATCTGGGGCCAGAAAGGAGGCAGCGCCGGTGCCAGGTAAGTCTCACCGGGAAGATGGCTCCACAAGCAGGAGAGCGGCCCTGGAACAGCCTCTCCCGCAAACCAGCTTGAGGGAGGTGCTCTAAGGTTCAGCCAGCCACAACCCTGCAAGGAAGCATGGCGCAAGAGCAGTGCAAGCCCCTCTGCCCACCCGAGCCCCTGGGCATACCTTCTGCAGCCACTGGGTGTTGTTCTCCATGATGTTCTCCAGCTGCTGGAACCTTTTCACAGGCCACTTGGCTGCGGATGGGGATGGAGCATCCCTCTGGAGTGAGTTGGAAACTTGCTGCTCAGATGCTGGGGAGCTACAGCCTCCGAGCTCCGGCAGCAGGAAAGTGTAGGTGCAGGAGCCAAGCTGCAACTGATGCCTCAGCCTTTCTGGAGCATCCTTCTCCTTGGCGTGGGGGCCAAGTCCCAGGGCCACCGGGCTCATTGCTGCCCACATGGGCGACAGGAGATAGGCCAGTTGTCCCCAGCTCCTCATGTTGCAATCCTGCCTTTAAAAGCTCCCCTGCGCACCCAGGGCTCAGCCCCACACTGGGACCTGCTCCACCTCCTCCTATGCCAGATCTGCGAGTCTCCTCAGAATGGGAAAAGACCCCTAACGTTTCCAGAACTCCGTGTCTGCACCCAGGGAAGCCCAGGCAACTGCCTTCCCCATCTCTGGCTCATGTCCTCTTGACAACTGCAGGAAGTATTGTGATGATGACTTCTAGGACCTCCCACCAGCCCCCCCCCCCCCCCCCCCTTTTCGCCCCCCCCCCCCCCCCCCCCCCCCCCGCCTTCTTGTTCCCGCTCCATCCTCCCCTTGCCCCCTGCAGGTTTTGGAAGACAGCCTGGATTATTTTAAAGATGCTTTGTCTCTTTGCCCGCTGAGTCAAGCTCCAATTCTGATGAGATAATTAGACCACAGGAATGCACACTCCAGAGTCAGCCGTGCTTTCTCCAGTGTATGCCTAATTTCCCCTGCCAGCTGGGCAGGGAAGCAAACATATTCTCTTCCCAAAGCCAGAACTTCAGATGTGGCGATGCAGAAACTCTGTGGTTTTCCTTTAGTGCTAAAGTAGAAACAATGGTGTGTGTGTGTGGTGGGGGTGGGAATCTCACCCTATGCAGGAAAGACATGACATGGGAAATGTAAGGTGAATGGTACTTATATACCTCTTTAGAAGGCCAGATACTGAAGATGAAACTCAAATACTTCAGCCACCTAATGAGAAGGAAGGACTCCCTGGAGAAGAGCCTAATTGCAAGGTCTTGCACTTGGGGCATAGGAAAGGGTGTCATAAGTACAGGTTAGGTGACAAGTGGCTGGAGAGCAGCACTTGTGAAAGGGACCTCGGGGTGCTGGTTGACTGCAGGCTGAACATGAGCCAGCAGTGTGATGCAGTGGTCAAGAGGGCGAACGCCACCCTTGGTTGCATAGCCAGAAGTGTGGCTTCTAGATCGAGAGAGGTATTACTACCACTCTACACGACTCTAGTGCACCCGCAACTGGAGTATTGTGCTCAGTTTTGGGCCCCTCATTACAGAAAGGATATAGGCAGGTTGGAGTCACTGCAGCGTAGGGCCACAAGGTTGGTGGCCGGTTTGCAGGGGATGCCGTATGAGGCGAGACTGAGGGAACTGGGCCTCTTCAGCCTGGAGAAGAGGAGACTCAGAGGGGATCTGTTGGCGACACACAGGTATGTGAGGGGATGTCACATGGAGGTGGGTAGAGCCCTGTTCTCCCCTGCAGAGGAAGACAGGACGCACTCCAATGGAGCAAAGCTCAGGGAGCCAAGGTTCCATTTGGATGCCAGGAAGCACTTCCTGAGAGTCAGGACCCCGAGGGTGTGGAATGGGCTTCCACAGGAGGTCGTTGAGGCCCCATCGGTGCGGGTGTTCAAGGATAGGCTGGACTTCACGACTAACAACAACAACAACATATTTTAGCAAAGGCTCTAAGTACGTATGCCATCAAGTCCGACCCACTGAACATGGCAAGGCTTCCAAGTAATCACGTGTAATGGGTCCTCAGGCATGTTGGGTTTATGGGCACATTTTGGAGTTTGTGAAATTGCACCAATGCAAAGTGCCTGATCATCGGCTCGCCTCATTAGCATCCACCTGGTGCACCTGTGCATTTTAGCTGTACCGTATTCAGCAAAACCTTTGGTTATGTGTCTCTTAGGCACCTCAGTGTCTCCTTCATAAGGGAATGTCTAATTTGGCTAATGGCAGGTAGTGCAATGCAGTGAATGCTTCTTTTAAACACGTGCTTTGGCAATGTCCAAAAGTTCTTTTGGGAGGAGTACGTTACACAGAAAAACATAGTGCTGGAACAATCATTCATACGCTTTTGAATGATTTACCTGTTTGTGGAAAGTACTAGATCAAAGGGAAATGGATTCTCTACATCCTTTTGAATAGTAACAGACTGATATTACAAAATTGGAAGGATAAACTCCCACTTTCTCTGATGCAAGGAATGGGGAACATTACAATGCTTTTGAGATATACTGTAGTTCTCATATAGCCCAAAGTGCCTGATCCTGCCTACTCTTGGAAGCAAAGCAGGGTTGGGCCTGGTTGAAGTCTGGATGGGTGACTTAAATGCCCAGGCAGCTTCAGCAATGGGAGATTCAGAAAGTGTAACAACAACAACAACATATAAACACCAAGTTTAAATGAAAATTGTGTGGGTATTTGGTTCACATTTGTTGCTGATGCATAATTGCTAGAAAGCTATATGCATTCCATATCAACCCATACACACACACACATTAAAAAATGGAAAAATTACTGGGGCCATGTTGGGGACTGCAGATACATTCTAATAATATATCAGCATGCACACATGTGTATATGCTAGCATTTGCAATTTTTATGCAAATATGCATATACTTTTTGTTGCTTTTTTTTCTTTCAGAAATTCTTACATGGCCACCCAACTCAAAAGTAAACATGAGCATGATCAAGACAAGAGGGGCACGTCTACCAGGAAAAGCTTTGCATCTGTGGGAAGGAGGTTTCTCCCCTCACCCAGAGGAGAGAAGAAGGGGAGACTGAAACACTGCAGAAGGGGAAAAAACATCTTCCGTTCCATTAGGCATACTGAGCATATTTCCCAGGCCTTGGAAGTTTCTGGGCAATGGAATGCCTGAACTCGATTCTTCTGTGCACTGTACTTCGCCAGCAACTCTGAAGGCACATGGAGCAGGGGGAAGTGAGCCTCTGTACTGTTGGATTTAGGGTGGTCACGGATCAAAGAGACTGTACGCAGCATGCAGAAAGAGGACGAGAGACACACGTATACAATTTGCATTTGCTGATTTACACATACAGATTCAAATTTAGAAATAATTGCTATAATGGAACTGGAAATATAATCATCTCAACTTCCTGGGGAAGGCTGGGTCCAGGTGTGCTGCCGAGGTGCTAACGAATTTCAAATGCTTCTTTATCTTGAAACTGGAATTGAGCACAGTATCCTTAAAATATATAAAGGCCTTCTGGAATCCCTTCAAATAGAGGAGCGTCCTCTGTGAAAGGGACCACCCTCAGATTCTTGGTTTGAATCCCATTCCCCCTTTTCAAATCGTGGGCATTCAAACTGGTTGGCTAAGTGAGAGGGGTGCTGGTACAGATGCCTGCCAGGGATCTGTTGGGTGGTACCCAAGGTAGTGATGGGATCTGTTTTCCCCCAAGCAGAAAAGCACAGTGCTTGGTGGCCTGGAAATGGCTGGAATCCGCTTAGGACTAGATGGCCCTCCCAGTTCAGTCCATTATCTACCTAGTCATCTTATTTTTGGAAAGGCAGCCTCTGTGTATCTACGTTTGGGTGTTCTGTGGAGGGCCTCTTGGCACTGGAATGAGGAATCTGGTTGGTATGCTGTGATGTTTGGGGGAAGGACTGTTTTGTTTTCCATCTCTGTCGTGTGCCCTGCTTCCCAGCCCAGGTGAATATTCCTGGCAATATAGACCCTTCGGCTCTTTTTCCTTTGTGAACCATCTCTTTCTCTCCCTTCCTCTCAGGACTACATGTAGTGCCACATGCGTTAAAGTCCAAGATTTTTAGTTATTTTGGTGTACCACACACGGGAGATAGGAAGTTAAGCCTTCCCTCCCAACCCTCTTTCTCCTTTACATTACCACCAGCACCCGACCACTACCCCAATACAGAGGCTAAAGACAAAGAAAAAATACCATTGGCAGCAAAACAATGTTTGTATTTATGGCGCTGGAAACGTAAGCCCGAGAAATGAAAACCCTTCTGAGTTTTGTAAAGACTGAGCAGTGCCTTTGAGCGGGGCAGTGGAAGAGGGGGAATCTGAAGTGAAACTGAAGTTCACCTTTTTAAAAGGGCCAAACCTACAGATGATGTGGGAGATCTGTGATTTGCCTCCAGAGTGTCTACGTGTTTTGATGTGCTCAGGGATGGAGCTGCTTTGAAGAATCAGGCTGCAGTGCTCCGGAAGAAGACAGTGGGGGATCAGGAACCGCATTTGTCCCCTCCCCTCCATGAGGATCTAAGAGGCTGCATTAGACTAGGGCATTGGATTTACATTTTATAGCAACTGGGAATGGTCAGCAATGAAAACATGCCAGAGAACCAGATCAATCTCACTGTTGCTAATTTTTTTGTGCATACAATATTTCTGGGAAGCCTTTCAGAGCAACAGGCCCCTCCCAAGGTAATGTGCATGAAACAACATAGAGCTGCAACACAGCATTTCATTATTCATTATTCATGGTTTGTGAGCCGTCCCGAGATGCCAAGGCATGTGGTGATGTCATATAAAAGTTTTAAATAAATAATAATAAATAATTAAGGCAATAATTTGAAACAGCAGTTAAAATCGCTTCCAAGCCAGCCCAGTCCACTCATATAAAGCTAATTAACCCATTAAAAACAATTTAATATCTATAATAATGTAGCCATTGCATCCAAAAAATTAGCCCAGCAAATCAACCAATTATATTTTAGTGCAAAAGGCAGGACTGCTGGGTTCTGCCCAACCCAGATTTCCACCAAACTTGGCCTTCAAGGTAATGTGCAGTTCCTGTAAAACAATGCAAAACTATGCCGGAAAATCAGCTTTAACCCATATGACTGAAAGCCCTAATTAAGCTCACAGCAAAAAGAGTTGCACAATTTTAGCCTGGCACCAGAAAGAGACATTCTGCAAGCAGGTTGCGAACACCTGCCTTTCCTAGCCACGCACCTAACTTCCATAGCTCTGGGTGCCTGAAGCTGGGCCTCAAACACCAGCCAGAATAAACCATCACAAAAGAATGGCATCATCATCCAAAAAGCATGGCTTGCATAAAATCGGCACACGGTAATTCATACATGCAGGTGCATGTCTAGAAACAATCGTCATAACTTAAATGGCAATTACGTCTCAGCACAATGCAAAAGCCAGCAGTCCGTATGCCGTTATGCCATCTAGATGACGGGCGAGAGGTTGCGCTTGCTGTTATGCGCCATCTAGTCATCTCCAACTCATGCGACCCTATCAAACAATCAGTAAGACTTTATTATGGCCAAAGTAAAACATTAAAAGGCAATACAGAAATATTGGGGAAATATAGGCAAATATTAGCCAGTGGTTATAAGGTGCCAATAACCTACAACTCGCCAGTTCTACATTGCACTCCGTAAACAATATCCCCATTCCAAGTGATAA